AAGGATGAGTGTTTGTGTGTGTGTGGTGGGGGGCAGGGGTAAAAGGGAGTTTGAAGAGCATGTGAAGGGTGAATGTGTGGGCAGGAGCACGTCTGCCTTTGGAAATCTCATTTCTAAAAAGGAGTCCACAGAATCGTACTCTAAGGCAGACATCTGGATTGTGGTAAAATGGTGGTGGTTCTTATGTGTGTGTCTATATCTATGATGAGGGCAGATATGGATACCTTTGAAGAAAGCCCTCCCAATACAAACTTTAATTACACCCCCAGATACGCCTGCACCTGCAATCTAAGCCTGCTTGTGAGTTGCTTTTTTCTTCCCCACAAACCACAGCTCAAACGTTTTCCTGCTTTACTGCCATATTTCCTCAGCACTAGGAGCTGACAGGATTGTCTCCCTGCTTGTGGTGTTTCCCTTGCTACATCTTGGCTCCATGGTCCTCCACCCCAGGGGGGCAGCAAGAAAACTGACACAAATGTAGGGGCTCCTGGGTGAACTGATAGGGACACTGCATGCAGAGGGATGTAGCCTCTGAGACTCCAGGATGGGGCTCTCTTGGCCAGTGTTCCCCACCCCCGTGGGTTATCGATCGTGCCTGTGACATCCTAAGGGTCTGCTGTTGAGGAAGAGCCCTGAGCTTGTGACTGTCCTTAGGTGGATTTCTCACTGGTAGTTCCTCCAGACTTGACATGGCATCTGCTCTGCCCTGGGCCCCTGACCAGCAGAGTCCAAGCTATCAGGGTTGATTCCTGAAATGAGAATGATCTGCACATCCTGGACAGCCAGTCTCTCAGGTGTGGGCCTTGGGCCTGGCTGCTCTAGATGCTCCTCCCTCTCCACCCCTTCCCGATTCCCTGTTTCCTCCTGATTTCAAAACTTTCCATTTAGATGTCTCCATGTCTCTCTTCTTTGTGAATGGTTCCAACAGGTGTTGTGCTCCTCATTGTGTTGTTGTATTTCTTGGAGCTCCCATTTCTAGGGATGTGATCACATGTGAGGATGGTTGACCCTTCTCCAGCTTCGCAGTTATTTAGTGGTAGAAGTGGACTGTCGGTGTGAAATACAAAATTTATGCTGATTCCATTCTGGCCTCTCCAGCTATGAGAGCAATGAGTACATTTCTCATTTTACTAAGAAGAAATCACACGTCACTCCTATAAGTATGATTTTCTTTTGTCAGACAACTTTTTGTAAAATCATGTGACTGAAGCACAGGTTCACATATTAAAGCATGAGTTCACATGAGTTGCCCCATCTGCTTGTGAAATTGCAGCCCTGATATCAGGTGCCAAAGGGCATTGATTCTTTCCTAAGCTCGGCACATGCAGTCAGGATCTACTGCTCCCTGTCATCCTTTCTGAATGTGAAGTCTCTGCTTTGATAGAGGCTTGTCTCATAGAACAGAGTTGCAGAAATATTTTGGCTTTCTCTTCCCATTCACCTACTCCTTTTCATCTGTATCTAGTCTAAAGGATACTTCACCCAATGAGTGTTTTAGCAATTCTAAGATCTATTTGCTTCTTTTTAATGTGTCTGGTTATTTCAACAGTCTCTCTTACAGCTTGCACATTTAATTCTACTGTTTATTTTTAATGTTTATTTTTAATAAATTTAATATAGAGAATTAAATTTATCAATAAGTTTATAATAAATTAAAGTTGGTGATTTTATGTTTATTTACACAATTATATGTCATGTTTGTTATTAAATTGATAAATAATAAATAATATTGATTTCATGTTAACCTTTATTGATTTAATATTAATTTAATGTTAGGTAATAAAAATAAATTTAATATCTGGGTACACAGTAGCTAAAAATAATGGCCATATTATTAATATTTGGCTATTATTAATATATGTTAATATTTGACTATATTGTTTATATGACAAATCCATCATCTGAGTATGATGGAGATCAAAAACTGTTATCTTTCTATGGTCTGATCTTTTACTAGTCATTTACTTATAAAATATTTGAGTGTCATCTGTTAGGAAATTATGTAGGTACTTGTGATAGAACAGTGAACAAAAATTTTTTAAACTCTACCTTCATGGTACAGATTTTGGAGGGTTGATAAACACCATAAATATGTAAGGAGATAAGCTAAGTGCAAAAAATAAAGGAGCAGGGGGAGTGTGGTGAGAGGGTAAAAGACAATGGGGCAGACATGTTTGCAGTTTTCCATACATTGTTTGGAGAAATCCTCCGAGACAGGGGCATCCCCCCTCCTGGGCTATATATTTGGTGTTCATGAGGTCTAAATTGGTCTGCTGAAGGAAAGACTTGTCTTTGCAAAAAACCTGCAAATGGGCATGGTCAAAGGATACAAACTTTCAGTTAAAAGATTATACCCTCTGGGGATCCAAGGATAGATTGTGACTATAGTGAACAATACTGTCTTATGAATGTTGCTAAGAGAGCAGATCTTTTGGTCTCACTACCAGAAAGAAATGGTGTTTATATGAGTTGATGGAGGTGACAGCTAAAGGTAGGGTGATATTATTTTGCAACATGGAAGTGCATCAAGTCAACCTACTGTATACTTTAAATTACAATATACAATTTGTCAATTATATCACAGCAAACTGGAATGTAGGGAGAGGATTAAAGCTGCTTTAGGAACACAATTTAAAGTCAATAATCTACTCAGGAGCTCATCCAAGAAGTCATCTTGAAAAAAAGAAAGTAAGGGATACAGTGTGATCTAGAATTGAAATTGCTTATAAATACAGTATCTATAAATATCTATATATTTAAATATCTCTACTATAATATTCATAGAGCACGCAGTCCATATTTGTATGTGGACAAACACACACACATACACACATACACACGCATACTTTTTTGGATACAAATCAAATACTCCATATCCTATTTTTTCCTCCTATATTGGTCAAATTCTTATTTCTCTGCATTCTCTATCTTAAGGTTGCTTTCTTTCTCACTAATTTGTTCTTTATTAATTTCCCAAAGTTATTTCATTCCAACTTCCTTCATACTTTATTTACTGTTCTTGTAGTTTCCTAAACTGAAGCTTATTTTTTTTTTCCCCTCTCTCAATACTTCCTCTTCATTAAGTCTATAGTATGAATTTCTTTTATATTTACAATTCTTTAAAAATTCTTTTTGTTGGGCCTCCCTGGTGGCGCAGCGGTTGAGCGCTGGGTTGCGAAGCTACCCGCGGCCTCTGCAGCGCCGGTTCAATCCCCGGCTGCTCCCCGGCCACTGGAGGAGGGTCCCACATGGCGCGCAGACCTCTCCTGCCGCCCGCTGCTTCCCTCAGCAGTGCACTTCGGTCCTTCTGCCTGCTCTGCTCCCCGCTCTGGCTCTGGTGAATTCTCTCACCCTCCTGTGCTTCTGACTGCACCCAGCGCATGTATAAATAAATAAATCTTTAAAAAAAATTCTTTTTGTTCTTTTATTTGTTTTTGTCTTATTTCCTCTTTTTTCCCTAAATTCATGTATCAGAGTTAAGGCTCTTATATGCTAACTCCAATCTATTTATTATGTTTTTCTACCTTTTCTTATCTTCTTTTTTCTCTTTGTGATTTGATCCCATCTTTTTACATGCCATGGAACTTTTTAGTTAATGTTAAAAATTAAGTTTATCCAGATATATTTTCTACATCTGATGCATCTTTTGTTGTTCTGCTAGGCAGGTGGGGCTGGGGCTGCTGAGCACCCAGATATCTAACTGTAACCTAGACCTGAGCTGCAACAAACCTGGCTGGCTGTTTGGGTGACACTCAGTCTACCCCTGACTTGTCCCTGTGCCTGTGGCAAGGGCATCCTGGGGACTCAGAATTCAGCTCAGATCCTGGATATTCTGGTAACTCAGAACCCAAATGAATAAAGAAATAGCCACTCTGCTTTCAAGAGTTTTGACATTCTTCTTTGGCCTCCTGCCCTGCACAACATGTATACTGGGCAAATATTTGACCAAACACCTGGTCTATGGGTGTGGCCCTCAGGTCTCCTATTTTACACTCCAGCACCAGTGTTTACATCAGTCTTGGAACAGAGAATAAAACCGACAAACCCTCCATTATTCATGACAGCAGAAGCTCTAGGTTTATTCTCTATTCCATTGCTTATGTTGCAATACTGACACATTTTTTAACCTCTTGGTGCATCTCTTTTTTCAATATGAAAAGAAGAAAATAATAATAAGAGAGTCTGTCAAAACTGCTTGAGTGATTTCAGCTCAGGAATATAAACTGTTCTGCTCCTTGGTGGGATTAGAGATACATTATATTTTGCCCTTAACAACAAATAACTCCAAATTTTGATTAAGGGGAATTCCTGACATAAAGTAGACATTAGATTTGTTTGGGGGAACAAGCAAATGTATGATTCCCAGTGTTACTGGCCAGTGTATCTGCTGTGATCAGGCCTCATCTACTCAAGAGTACATTCTGGAGCCTAGATCATTAATGAAGTATTCCAGGTAAACCATAGCTAGTCTCATGGCCATTCATCTTTCAGCTCTGAGTGACTATACCAAGAAGAATGAGTCTTACTGATGGGACTCATGGCTGCCACTGGAGACTTCTGATAAGCTCACAATAGTTCCCTATAATCCAACCTTCTAACTCTCAAGTTAATAGCGTGGATGTGAGTATGATTTATAAGGAATCCACCCAGCTGCCTGTCCATTACAGGGATCTGAATTCATTTAACTGCTCAGGGCAGAGATTCTGACATCTCAGATGCCAGGCAGACTCTACATCAGGGTTAACACTGGCAGGACCAGGTAACACCTGTTGTCTCACAATGCTCACTAGATTATCTTTAGTTACATTACTCCTGTTCTTTCTTACTTTCACTTTATTGCTCTGCCGACTGCTATAGGAAACCAGGTGCTGCCCCAGTGCAAGAACTTTGTCTCCACCAGCAGGCTGTGCAGCCTCAGAGGAGGGCACTGCCAGCTGCTCAGGTGAGGGGCCCTCAGGACCAGGAAAGTCACCTCCTTTGACCTGATTCTCTTTCCTCAGACACAATACAACTCCGCCTGGTGGATGGAGACCATCACTGCAGCGGCACAGTGGAGCTCTTTAACCAGAACTCCCAGGCCACTGTGTGTGATTATGGCTGGGACCTGCGTGATGCCCACGTGGTATGCAGAGAGCTGGGCTGTGGCGAGGCCCTCAATGCCACCGTCTCTTCTCACTTCGGTGCGAGATCAGGGTCCATGTACTTTGCAGAGTCTCAGTGTACAGGAAAGGAGTCCTACCTGTTGGATTGCCCGTTTGCATCCCCGGAGGAGAACTACTGCAAGTATGGCAAGGATGCAGGAGTCATCTGTTCAGGTATGGTCAGTGCATTTTCCAGGAGCTTAAGGAATGGAAAGTTCCAAGGAAGCTGGTGTCCGATCTCGGACAACAGATCAGATAGGTCTGAGATACATTTTACCTTTCCATAGTCCCGAGGGCACAAAGCTTCTCTGAATGATGAGTGTCCTTTACTCCTAAAGAAACTGCTAGTCCTTTCTTCTGCATTGGTGCTACCTGACAAAATAACTTATTCTGTTATCATCCCAATTAAAATCAATCTTCATAAATCTTTATAAGATTTGTAAGAGTAAACATTTGCATATCACCATACAACCTCCTCTTGTTCAGTGAGCCTATCAGTGGGAAGGACAAAATGAGGACCAGCATTCCCTCATTAATTTATTCTGTATAGATAGTGGGAATGTGGTTTTACACTGGGTTAGTAAGAGCAGAGACACAGGGGATATCACTGAACAAATCAGAGAATTGTATGGATTTGTGCCAAATTGTGTCTCCTTCATAAACTCAAGCATAAATATTCATAGGTCCTTGCCAATAAAACCAAAAAGCTGTGGATGAAATGCTTTGGGTCATAGATTCTCCTTCATTATTACTGGAGAGACACTCTATTTTCTTTCAAAACATTTGTGCAGACTCAAACTTTGGAGGTTAAATGGCCAGGCACTCACTAACAGTTCAATAGTGGAGGCAATAATATGTTAATTTGTGTTTTGTGGAAAAAGATTATGTAGATTTTACTTTATTCAATGGCTTCAAAATGAATTGCATTGTGGGATTGACAAGAATGGATTGTGGGAACAAATATAATTTTCAAAGAAGGAGGAAGCAGTTTAAAGTATCTGGGATGGAGGGGGATGGCCAGGGCAGCTGAGAGGACATCGGGGGTTCTCTGAGCAGCATGAGGGTGCAGGGTGTGTGGAGGTGCCATCTGTGCCTGAGGACACCAGATGTCTTTATAGCAAGAGGCCAAGCAAGGACATATCTGACTATAACTTTCATTTTGCCCATGGTGGGGTCGATGCATGTAATAAATCACCCTCTGAAGCAGCAGTTCCCCTTGCATTGTGCCTTCCAGTTCTCTCCTACTCTTTCAAGTCTTAAAACTGTCTACTGGTTGTTTTCCCTCCACTAGAAGTAAAGTTCTGCAAAGATAAGGACATTGATGTATTATAATTCATATTCCTAGCACTTGGAAAGGTTCCTGAAGCATGGCAAACTCTGAAATGACAATTGTATTTTGAATCAAACAATATGAAACACTATGTTGCTATCCAGGTAGCAAACTGTACTGAGTTTGGAGATGTTTCCTCTGAAACTTCCCCTCTGTCTCCATTTTCATCATTTCCCAATTAGAGGCTCAATATTGCCTCATTTCTGGACCCCTGTGACCCACTGTCCTTGTCCTTTGCTGCCCTTGATGGGAAAGTCACCCTTTGGTTTTCCAAGGTGAGGAAAGCCTCATTGTCCCAAGAGCAGAGGACAAGTTTTGTCTTCAAATAAGCAGTGACCTGATACCACATCCCATGGAGACATTTCCCACATCTCAGGCACCCTGTGCTCTGTTCCAACAGAACAGTCAGAGCTTGGAGGCATAGATGAGGATCCGGAAGGATCAGAGGCAGGCGAGGCTGCTGGTCAGAGGCCCTGAGAGTTGGTCTAGATGCAGATAAGTCACAGCTGAAGGGAGGACAGTGGAGGTATCTTGATCAGAGGGGAAGGAATAAAGAAAAAAGGTGATGAAGACCAATCAGGTCATCCTTGCTCTCTTGCTTCCCTAGAGAAACCAAGCCCTAAGGCTATAATAGTGAGAGGAGAATGTCCTTTGACCAAAACAGCCCCAATATCAGCAGAAGCTGAGATGTAGAAAATTGGGGCTCTCCTGACTCAGGTTTGGTCAGAGAGAACAGATTCCTGGAAGTTGGTCCCTGAGATCCCACCTATGACTCAGTTGATGTCTCCCTTGCACATGGGCTACATTGAAAATTGGGGGTCACCTTTGTGAGAAAAGAGTAGGGGTGAAACACCAAGGAGAGAGGGCCAGAGATATACTTAACACTGGGCCTGAAGGAAGATGAGCCTGTTGTGCAGGTATCTGGGATATGGAGCTATTGTCAGGAGCATAAAACAATCACCAAAGCAGGTACATCTGGAGGCCAGAGTGTGCGCCAACTCAGTAATCCTGAACCAGTCACTCCAGCCACTCCCTGAGTTCTGTCTTCTCTGGACTAAAATAAGAACATAGTGCTTGAGTATCACAAATATTATTTACAGCTCTGAGAGCTCATTGATCTAATCAATGAAAGAGCCAAACATTGCTAGGCGTGGACCTGGGTGTTTCCCATCTTTCTGACTGAAGGATTAGTGTGTCTGCATCTTTTCAAATTTATGACCCAACATGTGAACCTAGTTCCCTACAACGCACATTACACAGTTCAAGGAATTTTGTTATCTTCAGTTTTCATTATGTTGGTCCATTAGGTTTTTGTTGTATATGGTTAAATGGATCAATTACCACCTCTGTGGTCCTTGGTAAAACTGTTTATTTTCCCCCTGCCATTTCATCTACTAGGCAGATTTTTAAAAGTTTATCCTGACAGAATCCAACAATGTATCCATAAGATAATTCACCACGACCAAGTAGGATTTATTCCAGGGACACAAGGATGGTTCAACATCTGAAAATCAATCAATATAATCCAACATATCAACAAAAAGAAAAATAAAAACCATATGATAATATCAATAGATGCCGAGAAAGCTTTTGACAAAGTACAACACCCATTTATGATAAAGACCTTGAAATTCTTGGAATACAAGGAACATACTGTAACAGGGTGGTCCCCAGGAAAGGGGGAGGTTCCCTGCCCCACCCAAGGGAGGGTGGAGCTGAGCAGGAAGAGGGGAAGCAGAAGAGACTGAGGAAGGAAGCAGGATGGAGCCAGAAGGCGACCTGGAGGAGGCGCATGGAGCCTAGAGACACGTAAAGAAACTGCTTGTCTTTTGGTCGTGGACTGGGTGACACAGATGTGGGTGAGACCCGTGGGGAGGTGACAATGGCAGCTTTTATCTGGATGTTGATTTTGCTCTTTTCCTTCTGGGCTTGTCCGGTTGTTTGTGACCCTTTTCTGTGGGTCCCCACTGGAAGATGCTTTAGACTTGTGGCAGGCTTTGGGGCCTTGTCCTGGGCCAATCCCATATGGATGGACTTTTACCCACGAGGGGACGGGTAACTCTGGATGCTTCATTTAGAAACTAGACTAGAAACTAGACTCTTTGCCTTACCTGTATTGTTTCCTAGTTTTATTAAAGTTCCTTCCCATTAAAGTCTCCTATGTTTTGTGTTGATGCGGCGGATGGCAGAACCCATTTAGAATAGGCAGGTTTGCGGGGCTTGGGCTGCCCCTCTCCCTGTCCTATAACAATACCTCAACATCATAAAGGCCATCTGTGACAAGCCCATAGCCAATATCATTTTCAATAGTGAAAAGCTGAAAGCATTTCCATTAAGATCTGGAACAAGACAAGGATGTCCACTCTCACCACTGCTTTTCAATATAATACTGGAAGTCCTAGCCAGAGCAATAAGACAAGAGAAAGACATACAAGGAATCCAAATAGGAAAAGAAGAAGTCAAACTATCACTATTTGCAGATGATATGATAATATACATAGAGAACCCTAAAAACTCCACAGAAAAACTAATTCAACTAATCAATCAGTTTAGTAAAGTGGCAGGATACAAAATCAACACACAAAAATCAGTAGCCTTCTTATACACAAACAATAAATCTGAAGAAGAAGAAATCAAGAAAACCATGCCTTTTATTATCAAAAAAAAAATCAAATACTTGGGAATAAACCTAACAAAAGAAGTAAAGGACCTGTACAAAGAAAACTATAAAACACTGTTAAAAGAAATAGAAGAAGACAAAAAGAAATGGAAAGACATCCCCTGCTCATGGATCGGAAGAATTAACATTATCAAAATGGCCATCCTACCAAAAAAATTTTACAGATTCAATGCTATTCCAATAAAAATTTCAATGTCATTCTTCAAAGAAATAGAACAAATATTGATGAAATTCATATGGAGCCACCAAAAACCCCGAATAGCCAAAATCCTCCTGAAAAAAAAAAGAAGGGAATGGAGGCATCATGTGCCCAGATTTCAAACTATATTACAAAGTTGTAATGATCAAAACTGCATGGTATTGGAACAAGAACAGACACACAGACCAATTGAACCAAATAGAAAACCCAGAAATAAACCCACAGATTTATGGTCAACTAATCTTTGACAAAGGAGCAAAGAATATGCATTGGAGCAAAGAAAGTTTGTTCAATAAATGGTGTTGGGGAAACTGGGTCGCTACATGCCAAAGAATGAAGCTTGACCACTACCTCACACCATACACAAAAATCAACTCAAAATGGATTAAAGAACTAGACATAAGACCTGAAACCATAAAATATATAGAAGGAAATATAGGCAAAACACTACATGACATGCACCTCAAAGATATCTTTACAGACACATCACCCAGAGCAGTGATAGTGAAGGCAAAGATAAACAGCTGGGACTACATCAAATTAAAGAGCTTCTGCACAGCAAAAGAGTCAATAACCAAAACGAGGAGAAACCCCACTGACTGGGAGAAAATTTTTGCACACAACACTAATGATAAAGGACTGACCACAAAAATCTGCAAAGAGCTGAAGAGACTCAACAAAAACAAAGAAAATAATCCAGTCAAAAAATGGGCAGAACTATAAAGAAACTTCTCCAAAGAGGAAGCGCAAATGGCCAACAGGCATATGAAAAAATGTTCAACTTCACTTGTAATCAGGGAAATGCAAATCAAAACTACAATGAGATACCATCTTACTCCAGTGAGAATGGCACATATTAAAAAAACTAGCAACAACAAATGTTGGTGAGGATGTGGAGAAATAGGTACTCTCCTGCACTGCCTGTGGGAGTGCAAACTGGTCCAACCACTATGGAAAGCTGTGTGAAGATTCCTCAACCTACTAAATATAGAGCTTCCAAATGATCCTGCAATTCCACTCCTGGGTGTTTACCCAAATGACACAGAAATATTAATTTCAAAGGACATCTGTACCCCTATGTTTATAGAAGCACTATTTACAATAGCTAAGCTCTGAAGACAACCCAAATGCCCAAAAATAGATGACTGGATCAAGAAGATGTGGTATATATACACCATGGAATATTACTCAGCAATCAAAAAAGATAAACTCATGCAATTTGCAGCAACATGGCTGGAGGTGGAAGGGATTATGCTCAGCGAAATAAGCCAGAAGAAAAAAAAAAAAAAAAAACAGATGGTCTCACCCATAGTAGGAGTTTAGAAAACCTAAATAAGAGATCAGGAAAAAGAATAACTATAATAAAGAAAAAATCAAAATCAACAAGCAACTCTAAACCAGAGACACACTATGAGGGCAGGGGGAAAAGGAGAGATTGGGGTCAAAATAAGGGGGGTGCAATTGTATGGGGAATATAGCCAAGATAAAAAATGCATACATTGTGGAAAATGATGTGAAATATATGAAAAATGAAAAAGGGAACTAAAAGATGTAAGAAAAATATAAAAAATAAAAATTGTAAAAAAAAAAAAAAAATAAAGGGAAAAAAAAAAAAAAACTAAAAAAAAAAGTTTATCCTGACATATCAGGATCAGGTCAGTAGGTCAGTCAGTAAGACTGATTTGCAGTAAAAAGACAAAGAGCTGGACAGGACCTGTCAGTGAGAGCCCAGTCTTCACCCTGATTCATTCACTTTCTTCAGAAGGGCCTATCAGGAACTCAGGGAGGAGTTCCACATCAGCCAGGCTCTTCCCTGGGCATCAGTTGTACAGAAACTTCACCCACTTCTAATAAATATACAAATGACACCAAAGAATTGGGTGTCTTTCTGTGGTGTGTTGAACTCAAATTCTACTTACGTCAGATGAACATCGATAGAATATTTCTCACTAATAACACCCAGTCTTGCCCACATATTAAAATGTCCTTATCAAACCTATGGCCTTTACTACAGCCTGGATGGAGCTAGAAGGGATTATGCTTAGTGAAATAAGTCAGAAGGAAAAGAGAAATATCTGATGGTTTCACTTATAGAAGGAATATAGAGAAACTGAACAAAGGGTTATGAAAAAGACAAGCTTGCAGCTGATAGAACTCATATATCTGATGCTTACAGCGCGATAAGGGACAAAGAGATGTCAAACAGGGGAAGGAAGAGCAGAAGGAACTTTGTCATGGATTATGGGTTCTCTAGTGGTGGGAGAACACCCAAGGACAACACCATAGGGGGAAATCAAATAATTTCCAAAAAGTAAACCACCATTGAGAAAAAGATTAAATTTAATAAAATTACAAATTAAATAAATAAAATTTTCATTATCAAATTTTTGACCACTGAAAGGATTTCTATCCTATCACAGAGGTGAATGATTTTAAATTAGGTCAGCATTAGATGACTTGCTGGAAATGATCATGTTAATAAGAAAACCCTAGAATTAGTTTTCCTTTCAATCAACTGTGTCTTTCAAAGAATGTGTATAACTTTTTCTCTTAATTTTTTTCTGCTTCACTTCTTATATATATGTTTAATTACTATAACATTTATTTCAGAGATTAATATCAAGTGGGAATATGTTTTATTATTTGAAAAACATAGCTCTACATTTTCAACATTGTTTGCTGAATGTATCTTCTTCAATGATTTAAAATATTCCCTTTACAAACACTAAATTTCTGTCTGTCTTTGAGATGACTAGATATTCACATTCTGCTCCTTCTGACTCTTGTCAGATCTTAATTGGTTTTATTATTTTTAATATCTAAACCCATCACATCTAGCTTTGATTTCATAGGCTCTTTACAATTTTCTTTCTTGTAAATTTTAAAATCAATTAGAAAACAGACAAGAATTAACAGTAATTGGCTTGAGAAGGCTCATTCTTGGTATGTATGAGAACGTATCAGTTATTCAACATGCATTTGCATATCTAATATATGTCAAGTATATTAAGTAAAATAGTATAAAAGAAATATTTCTTTCTTATTCTGAGTTTGTATTTCATGAGATTAATATTGAAACTATGAAAAATTATTCATTATGATTTGAGAATTTATTTTTTCCTTGAATTATCTTCATTGTATCCAAAATATAGTCACTGAATGATGAACATGCATCCTTTCTTTGGTCTCCCCCATTAAGTTTAAACTTCACCCACTCCCAATATAATCTACCACACACCCCATCCACACCCCCACTTATACAGACATTGCTGCCATATTTGATTCTTCCTTCTACCCAATTATAACTCTTAAGATTGTTTCTTTTGTCTAAGTGAAAGAAATAAAGGAATGCAGGGATAGGTGGTGAATGGGAGAGGTATAGGTTGATAAAATATGTCCAAATCTTGTTGGACAAATATTTTCTTCAAATACTTGTATCTTTCACCCACATTAAGGCTTGTGCAAGGTGAGAGACTCCAGATCATTATCTGTATGTACCCCCCTCCCCTTTCCTGCACCTTTTGCTTCTTATTCAAGAACACACACATAGAGGAATATGCAGTTAACTTAGTGATAGCATTAAAATACATCAATTATTCTCATTCCCTAAGATTTCCAGATCTTGGAAAAAATCCTGTAGTAGGAAGGGATCAGCAAGTTCAGGTGTCTAATAATCTTCCACTGAGATCTCACTCTCCTGCAGGTTCACTGAAAATCCCAAGGATTCAGGAGAGAATGCTAGGATCAGGCCTCCTTCTACTATGACCCTGAACTTTCCGAGCATCCAAATTCATCTGTGCACAGCTTCTGTCACAATAAGGTGACCTAAGAAATTCTTGGAATTTCTTTTCATCAAGAATTATCAGAAAATAAAATGCAAAACCATGAAAGTGGACATTAATGTCTCTGTTTCCTCCCTTGAGCATCAGTCTGTCTGTGGATGGCAGTTCTCAAAGGCCAGGACTTGTGGATTTCCTTGCACTCAGTCTCTTGAGGACCAGCTCCTAAGACAACACTGGCCACAATTCTAACCCCAGAAATCTCAGAATGGCCCTCACATTTGGATGACAGTCTTCAAGCCTCTATAATAACACAGCTCTTTTTTACTCTGGACTAGTCCATCTAAGGGGCAAGTCTGAATGCCCCTGTAATTTTATTAAATTTATTTTTTTCTCAAGTAGTGGTTTACTTTTTGAAATTATTTCATTTCCCCCTATGGTGTTGTCCTTGGGTGTTCTCCCATCACCAGAGCAATGGCCTCAGGTCCTCTAGCTTCCTGATTCCTAGACAAGGATTCACATTTCTAACACATCAAAGAGTATATAGTCTTGGGGTTCAGTCATTCACAGTTATCCTGCAAATCCTTCTGAATTTCTCTTCAGAAACTCGCAATTCTGACTCTCAGATTCTCTCTCTGTGCCCTCTCACTAGAAAACAAATGTATTCACACCATTGCCTATATATGTTGTTTTTGATGACACGGACAGTCCTGAGCATTCTCCTATTTTTCTTTTCTCTAGGATTAACTGTGCATCTGGCTGGAGGGGGTAGGCCCTGCTCAGGGCGAGTGGAAGTGCATTCCAGAGGAGACTGGACTCCAGTGTCTGATGGGAACTTCACATTCCCCACCGCCCAGGTCATCTGTGCAGAGCTGGGGTGTGGCAAGGCTGTGTCTGTCCTGGGGGGCGTGCCCTTCAGAGAGTCAGATGGACGGGTCTGGCCTGAGGAGTTCTGGTGTGAGGGGCAGGAGCCAGGTCTCTGGTCCTGCCCCAGGGTGCCCTGTCCTGGAGGCACCTGCCACCACCATGGGGCTGTTTACCTTGTCTGCTCAGGTGAGAATCAAGCAGGGTTCACCCTCCCTGCTTCTTCTGCTGGGTAAGAAGCACATGAGCTTTGGCTGAAGCCCTGTCTCCTCCCCCAGCATATACAGAAGTGCGGCTCATGAGCGACGAGGGCTCTCAGTGTGAGGGACAGGTGGAGATGAGCATTTCAGGGCACTGAAGAACACTCTGCGCCTCCCACTGGAGTCTGGCCAATGCCCATGTTGTGTGTCGTCAGCTTGGCTGTGGAGTTGCCCTGTCTACCCCCAAAGGAGCACACTCTTGGGGAGGAGCTGACCAGGTCTGGAGGGGTCGATTTCACTGCTCGGGGGCTGAATCTTTCTTGTGGAACTGCCCCATGACTGCCCTGGGTGCTTCCGACTGTGCTGGTGGAAACACAGCCTCTGTGATCTGCTCAGGTGAGAGGGGGCACTAACTGCACTTAGGGTGCTCGGGTCCCTCAGAGCAGGGCATGTGGGAAAACTGGTTCATGAATAAAGAGTGGATTATGTATACACAAATATTTGTCAAAATATACCCCATTTACTCTTAATGTTGGTGTTTTATTGCATGAGAAGTACACATTAGTAGAGTTTAATGAATTTTTAAAGGTTTTCTTTTGTTTCTAGCTTAATTTTCTGTGGTCAAAACATGGTTATATGACTTTTTCTTAGTTTTCCTTTGAAAAAATTTGGAATTCATTTTTGGCACAACAGTTTTGGTAAATGGCCTACATGCTCTTAAGAATAATGTGTATTCTGCTGTTTTGAGGTGCAGCTTTTGCAAATCATACCATTCAGATATTCGAAATACCACTGATAGCTTTTTTACTCAGAAGTTTTACTTATGTTTTCTGAATACATGTTGCTTCGAAATGCAGAAATGGAAAGTAATCACTTTATTTTTTTTTCTTCCAATCATATTCTCTTCGGTCCTTTAACCCCTCACCAATAGTATCCACTAAACTGATCAGCCTTCTACTGATCAGCTCTTCTGACTTCTGCCTACTGTCTTGGCCCTAAAGGAACAGACCTGGACTCCTATAAATAGAGATGCTTTCTACATCCATTGACAAGTCCTCCAGACACACATTTTAAATTCTCTGTAGGAGAAGCTTATTTGAAGAAAAGTATTTTTTTTTCTTTTTAGGCCTCATAATAAGTTCCTGGTTTCTATTGCTGTTACCAATTTGCCCAAAATCTTAACAGCAGAAACAAAAATGCATTCTATTTAGCTGTGATTTCCTGGGTCAAGAATTGGGGGGAATCAATTTGGCAGTTCTGTCTCGTACTTTCACGTAGCTGTCATGTGAGACTGAAGTCACGCAAGAGCTGCCTAAACTGGGAACTCAGGATGCTCACTGACAGGATGGTAGACCCCCTGCCTATGGCCTCTCCCCCAGGACAGGCTCAGCAGAGCCACCTCCCCTAAAGCTTGTGTCCTCTTGAGGCTGGGGAGGCTGCACGACTTTCCTGGCTTGGTGCAGGAAATCAGCAGTGTTGCCATCGCCGCATCATGTTGTTTACAAGCAAGTCCTGAGGATCAGTCCAGCTGCAAGAGAAGGGAGCAAGACCTCACTCCTCAATGGACACAGTAACAAGGATTTTGTGGATATATATATATATAAACACCACCAAGGTGTATGAAGTGTCCCACTGTAATAGTGGATTTTTAAGTTTCTACTTTCCTTCTTTCACTTGTGGGTTTAAGGAATAAAACTTAATACACATGCAGCTTAGACCTTTCACCTTATCTCTTGTTTTCATGTTTTCTATTGTTCCCTGTGCTGTATTCTGTATATTTCCTCTGATCTTCCATTCCATTTTACTATTCCTGCCTCCATATCTCTGTTTCAGTTTTCAGAGTCATCTATTATGGCTGACTTGAGGAAAGTCTCGAGGGCAAAGAGGCTTAGCCCTGCTTTAGCTTCTCCCTGAGCATCTGTGTCAAAAATTCTCACTGTTTTGGGAGCTCTGAAACACCTTCATACACTTGGCATATACTCATTTTTTTTTAAGATTGATTTATTTATACAAGAACAGCATACAGGCCAGATGCGCGGGAGAGTGAGAGGATTCACCAAAGACAGAGTGGGGAACAGAACAGGCAGACTGACGAAATACACTGCTGAGGGGAGCTGCGGGCGAGTCAGGAGAGGTCTCTGTTGTGCCATGTGGGTTTCTCCCTGGGTGGCTGGGATGGACCGGCGCTGCAGAGGCTGCGGACAGCTTCACAGTGCTAGCTCAACCACCTGCACCACCAGGGAAGCCCTATCTCACTTTTCTAGGGTCCTTATCCAACACCTTTCCAAGGTCCTTATCATAGTAACATCTATACAGTCTCTTTTGCCTTACAAGGTAACATATTCACATGTAAGATGATAATATTCACAGGTTTCAGGATTCAGGATTCAGTGTTTCTTAGTGTTTCACTTAAAACAGAAACCATACAAAGAAAGTAAATGTTACAATCATGATAACGATGACTGCCCCATTACAGCGCTCACCTCAGACCGAGGTTATCATGTAGTTTAATTCAGTTTTCTGCTCTTCACCCCCACTAACCCTCTACTCACTGCTCTGCAGGAAACCAGACACAGGTGCTGCCCCTGTGCACCCACTCCCCGTCTCCACTAGCAGGCTCTGCAGCCTCAGAGGAGGGCACAGACAACTGCTCAGGTGAGGGCCTTCCAGGACCAGGAAAGAGTCTCTTTCCAGGTTAGATGCCTCCTGACCTGACTCTCTCCGCAGACAGCACACAGCTCCGCCTGGTGGACGGAGGCCATCCCTGCGCCGGCAGAGTGGAGATCCTTCACCAGGGCTCCTGGGGCACCATCTGTGATGATGGCTGGGACCTGCGTGATGCCCACGTGGTGTGCAGACAGCTGGGCTGTGGGGAGGCCCTCAACGCCACGGTCTCTGCTCACTTCGGGGAGGGATCAGGACCCATCTGGCTGGAGGAGCTGCAGTGCACAGGAAACGAGTCCCTCCTGCGGAAGTGCCCGTCCCCGGGCTGGGAGCTCAATGACTGCAGGCACAAGGAAGACGCCGGGGTCATCTGCTCAGGTCTGCACTGCACATTGTCCAGGGGCTGCCGAGAAATGGGGCGGGGGCAGGGGAGGACAACTTATTTCTTGGACAAAGTGTGAAAGAGCAGAGGGGAAGGAATCCTCCTCCAGTGGTCCTGAGTCTCTAGAAGATATGAGGATTAGGCCCCTCCTTCCTTCCTGTGCCAGTGAGAGTCTGTTTCTTCTTTCTCTGCAACATCTTCTGACAGAGCAACAACCTACAGTTTCCATTTGCAAGCAGGGCTCACTTTTCAGGTACTTACGCTGATGGAATCTTGAAACCCACCACTGATTTCCACTGTGGTTGTAACAAATATTCACAAAATTAGTTGTTTAAAGCAAGTTATATGTATTATCTTGCAGTTCTTGAGCTAGAAGTCTAACAAACTCTCACTGGGCTAAAATCAAGGTGTGAGCAGGGCTGCTCTCTTCTCAGTTCCTGGGGAAGAATCAATTTCCAGCTCTAGAAACTGCCTGTGCTGCTTGGCTCAGAGCCCCCTTCCTGGGTCATCAGGCCAGCAGTGTTGCACATCTCTCACCATTCTCCATAATCACCTCTCTCTCTCTAACCAAAGCCAGATATGGTGTTCCACTTTTAAGACAGTGAGTCTTGGGCCTCCCTGGTGGAGCAAGGGTTAAAGGCACAGCTCTATCAATCTGTCGGCAGCCACTGTGCCATGAGTTTGATCCCCAGCCAGGGTGATAACCCTCATGGTGCAGCAGACCTCTCCTGACTCGCCCGCTGCTCCCCTCAGCAGTGTATTTCAGTAGATCTGCCTCTTCTGCTCCTCACTCTGCCTGGTGAATCCTCTCACCTCCTACATCTCTACCTACACCCCAGTTCTTGTATACATAAATAAATCTTTTAAAAAAAGAGTGATTACATTGGGATCACCTGGTTAATCCTCGATGTTCCAGGTTAGTCTCACCTTTCCAAGCTCCTTATCATAGTCACATCTATACAGTATCTTTTGCCTTGCAAGGTAACACATTCACATGTAAGATGATAATATTCACAGATTCCAGGATTCAGAATGCAGACATTTCTGGGGGCCATTATTCTGCCCCCACCCTTCTTGCCACACCACCTACTTCATATCCTGTGGTTTTGTCAGCATCCAGCACTCCTTCCCTGCAGAGGGTCCAGAGTGCCAAGTGGGGTGCTCATGGTGCCTTGTCTCCCCCTTTATCTTTCAGAGTTCCTGGCCCTCAGGGTGGTGAGCAAGGACCAGGACTGTGCTGGGTGGCTGGAAGTTTTCTACAACAGGACCTGGGGCAGTGTGTGCAGCAGCCCCATGGATGCCATGACCTTGTCCGTGATCTGCAGACAGCTTGGCTGTGGGGACAGCGGGACCCTCAACTCTTTGGTTGCTGCTAGGGAAGGTTCTAGACCCCAGTGGGTAGATGGAATCCGGTGTAGGAAAACTGATACCTCTCTTTGGCAATGTCCTTCTGACTCTTGGAAATACCATTCATGTTCTTCAGGAGAGGAAGCTTCTGTCATGTGTGCAGGTGACTGTTGTATGTGTCTGTGTCTGCCCCATAGGCTGTCACTAGTGATGTTCTATATTTTCAAATATAGCTTATGAGTTTAAGATAAGTCTGTAAAATGAAGTTGGGTAAATATTTAATCCACATGTTCCAACTCTGTTTCAGAGGAGAAAATAAGGAAACTTGTGCTACCTGTAGTTTACATGAAAAATACTAGGATGATTGTGTTGAAGTGTGGGGCGTATGAATAATCCTCTGATGGACTCCTAAGGAATGGCTAGTTAATTAGGACTAGCTAAATGCTATGTGAACACCTTGAGATAACTCAGAGCCTGGTCCCCAAGCTCTGTTCTCTTATGCTCTTAGCTATTGCATCGAAATGCATCGGTGCTAGTCAGACTCCAGGTCAGTCGGCTGGCAGCGAGTAAAACATGTCTTGTGGAAACAAAATTACACTCCAGGCCAGAGGACAGAGAAAAGAGAATATATAATTTCTGCCTTCATGGTCCATAACATCCCAGGTTGTAGACTCTGATTAAGCAGAAATTCAAGAGTCTTGAGTGTGGAAGTGTGTATGGGGCCAGAAGATAAATCATGTTTTAGTGGAGACTTGAAGGATGAGTAAGAGTCCCATCAAGGATGAAGTGGGAAGATTCTTAGATACTTAGAAAATTCCCTCATGACAAGAGGAGAAAGAAGATGGGGGAGAGCTCTGAGGGGACCCTGGAATACAGAGCAGAGGGAGACCACTTCAGTGCAGGGTGCAAGGAAACAATTCTGTCAAAGAGCAATTTGTTTATTGCCTTGGCTGTCACTGCTGAAAGGTCAGTGACCTGGATCAAGCAGATCTTTCTCCTGCATTGATTACTTGATCTGTTATATAATTGTTCCTTTAAAAAGTGTAAGTGAATTTTTTATTATGAATGATTTCTGTGATTCTACAGTTATTTTAAAATTTTTTTCTTCTTTATTACCACAAACCATTGATATGATTTTGTTTCTCTAACAGCTTACTCATGCATAATAACTTAAAGGAATTAAATCTCACCACATTTTAGTCATCCATTCATTCAGGAGATTGATCAAACCCTCTCCCCAGTGCTTACAGAATGTTCTGCACACATGTGTTGAATGAAGACCTGTGGGGCACTAGGCACTGAGCTAAGAGCAGGAGCACAGATGTGAGTTAGATGTGCAAGGTCCTTCCTCTGGCTGAGCTGCATCTGTGTGTGTGTGTGTGAGAGAGAGAGAGAGAGAGAGAGAGAGAGAGAGAGAGAGATATTGTGGAGCATGGAGAGTGATAGACAAGACAAAGATAAAATAATTTCAGCTGCTGATGAGGGTGAAGATCCAGGGAGAGTCCCAGCCACTCAGCCAGTAGATTAGCTAGGAAGCCCGTGTTTCCCTTGTCATTTGGGCTGAAGCAGGTGACCTAGTTTGGGAGCAAAACCACTCACTCCTGTCGCTGACCCAGCATTACTCCTTTGCTTTTGCAGAAAAGAGGCCCAAGAGCTGTCCATCTGCAGCCCCCTGCACAGGTACATCAGCCCCTCCCAGCTCACCGGGTCCGCCTGGGGCTCCTCCTCCAGCAGGGCCCTAACAGGGGTCCCCTGGCCTTGCAGACAGGGAGAAGCTGCGCCTGCGGGGAGGAGACAGCGCGTGCTCGGGCCGCGTGGAGGTGTGGCACGCGGGGGCGTGGGGCACGGTGTGCGACGACTCCTGGAGCTTGGCCGAGGCCCACGTGGTGTGCGGGCAGCTGGGCTGTGGCTCGGCGCTGGACGCCCCGCGCGCGGCGGCCTTTGGCCCTGGAAATGGCAGCATCTGGCTGGACGAGGTGCGGTGCAGGGGCGGGGAGTCCTCCCTGTGGGAGTGCCCTGCGGCTCCCTGGGGGCAGAGCGACTGCAAGCATGAGGAGGACGCGGGAGTGAGGTGCTCGGGTGAGTGGGCGACCCCCTTCTGTGGGGTGAAGGGAGGAGTTGCATCCAGAATCTCTTCCTGGTCTCACCTGCTTTTCTGTACTTTGGCACCTGGAGTCTATTGCTTGGCACCTGGAAGCTGGGAGAGAACAAGGTGCCAGAGATGGTAGGTGTGACCCTGGGGTTTTCCCACCCAACTCAGTAGTTTCCCATTACCCCTTCTCTTCGCTCCAGGTGAGAAGACAACAGTACCCCACAATCATGGAAGTAAGTGTTTCTTCTCTGAGCCCTGAGATAGAGGTGATACCCACATCATCAGGGCCATACACAATGGAATCTGCATATTTATGGAAAATTAACCATATTGTACAGGAAAGGCCTAATGCTCAGGCATTACAGTCCTGTTCATTGTGGCAGCTGTAATGTCCAAATGCTTATCCATTTTCACTTTATAAAGATCCCTTAAAATCACATGCAGAGACAGCTGACACAGCTCAGGGCACGACTGGGGTGAATCACACCTTGGGATTCAGGCCAGGCATTGTATCTGCATGGTACTTCATGGTCTTGAGGACTCAGTGGATGAGCAAGACAAGGGGTTGAGGAAGGGTTCTCCTTGACATACAATCCTTTCCTAAATCTTATGACACTTTTTTCTCCTCAGGCAGCAAATCAGACTCAGCTCTAGGCCTGGGCATCTTCTCCCTGCCCGGGGTCCTCTGCATCGTCTTGGGGGCCCTTCTCTTCCTGGTCCTGGTCATCCTGGGATTCAGCTGCACAGAGGGAGAGCAGAGCACCAAGGTAGGCCAAGGGGATGCTAAAGGGACGTTGTGGGAATGCTGTTGAGCCAGTTTTGATACCAAGAAAAGTGCCCTAGTATTGTCTCCACCCTCACAGTCTGGCAAAAAGCACCTTCTCTACAATAGCCTTTAAGATTTGAGACAGCTGAATCCTTGGTTGAATGTAAAACCTCTCATGAATTATGACTTACCATGGAACACTGTACATGAGAATTGAGTATAGGGTCACAGTCAGTGTCAAGAAAGCTGTCTATGTCTCACAGAGCTCAGGAAGGGACTCTGAGAGCCTGGCAGTTTCCTCAGGAGTGAGCAATGGAGTGCATCAGAGGTCTTGCCTGTTGGTGTAGGGACTGTCTCCAGGAGTAGTCTCTGAACGCATGTCTCTTTCCACAGCCTCACCTGCTTTTGAAAATGCCACTGATGAGGCCTTGTACCAGGAGATTGATAACTATGCTCTACCAGAAAAGGAGGAACTTTTGGACAGCCCAGGTGTGCCCCATGCCCTCCCCGCTGTTCCTGAGCTGACCATGGGTTCCCTTCACATTTATAGACTCAACCTCTCCCTCCTCCCAAAGCAGGAGCTCCCAGCCCTCTCCCTACAACTCTGATGTCTCAAAATTTCTTCTGAACCTTGACACCGGGCCTCCTGCTATGGCAAATGTTTTCTGTCTGTGATGTTCTTCCCACCAGGAAGCCTGTCTGATGACTTAGTGACAAAGCTGCCGTATTACACAGGGGACGATGAAAAGGGAGACCCTGGACCTGCCCCAGGTAGTAGACTCAGGGTCTTCCCTGGATGTTGGGCTGAGGACAAGTGATCTCATCTAGGAGAACTGTGATGAGGAGGGGAGGAATATCTTCTGTCTTCTTCACAAAAACCCTTTTCTCTGTCTGCCCACTCTGTCATCTCAGAAAGGAAAATATCATACCCAGTTTTCTTTATCCACAGCTACTTCTAATCAATTACAGATTCACATCTGTGGTTTGCACTTGAGATGGTATTATATATGTGGGTCATGTATAACTGACCCCCAAAATTGATTTTTTTTAAAGCCCCAGAAAACATGGACTGCTGGGGCTTGACTTATCAGTTACCAGAAGTTCTTATTAACAAGGGACCTAAGAGAGGAGGATGTTTCTCCTGGATCTTCTCCAGATTGTGACAATGGATAGCTCTTGGGATGAGACATGTCTGGAGGGATCCTGGAAATTGGATCCTTAGATCAACATAGCCTTCAGGGAATTGAGACCCAGGACTCCTGTGGAAGGGACTGGTGGTTTTGCCTTTCTCTGGGTGACAGGTACCCAGAGAGCATGTGGGCAGCTGTGTTCTCTTTGTCGATATCATCCCAAGACACTGATTTGTACATATTATATGTTACAGCTCTGTTGTATGAATGTAGTACCTGAATTCCTATTACAATAGCTTTTGTTGCTGCTTTATGGTATAAGAGGCCGTATTTGCTTTATGGTATAAGAGGCTGCTTTATGGTATAAGAGGCCGTAAAGTATAGTAGAATATGTAGAAAAATCAAATAATTTCTGAGAATGTTAAATCAAATAAATGCCCAGAGACAGCCCTGGAATCTAGAGCTTATATGTATCAGCTGTTGGAATCTCTGTAGTAAAAGGGCCTGAGCACCCCCTAGTCCAGCCTCAGTCCTTGTTCATTTCCAGAGCCTCCGGGACAGCATGTCAGAGCCACGGGAAATGGTTATGATGATGTTGAAGAGTTTCCTGTTCCTGAAATTCCTACTTCCCTAGGAATGAGTAGGAATTATTTTTTCCCAGAGGAGGAAGGTGGTGCTGGGTATTCCCAGACAGGTGAGTGTCAGCTCTGTCTCCCGTAGCCTCATTTCCTAGTCTGGGGGAGGATGAATTTGGACTTGTCAATAGTCAGTTTATCTTTACTATCAACATCTGGGCCCTCTAGACCTAGATGAGGTGTGTCTGTTTCATCTCTTCTGAGAGGAGACACATACTGTGTTCTCATGTCCATTTCTTCTATCATTATGATACAGACATTCCTATATGAGTGGCAGAGGCTTTATTCCCATTTTTTCACACCACAATTGAGATATGTGATCTGAAAATATATTCGGAGCTCTTTCAGATTGTGAGAAGTAATCTGGAAAGTTTCGATAGCAATGTAAATTAAATTTGTAATGTAGAAATATTTGTTTGCGGGGGAATCATATATCCAGATGTTTAAAGTAGGCTTTGTTTGCTACTAATGCAGATGTCAAAGGCTTAATTAGAGTCATAAAATATGAGCTGCAGAATGAAACCAAGGGAAAATATTCTCCCATTGTTTTAGTTGACAACGACCCTCCTTCCTTAGGACTAGGCCTCTGCCTATGTGTGAGCATGTAGTGCTGTCTGGGGAGTAGGAGGTTGTAGGAGTCACTTGAGCTGCTCCCTTTTGGCATCTGACAGAGAACCCAGAATGTTCTCCTGAAGACTTGACTGGCATTGAGGTGCTGAGGAATCTAGGGGAGTCATCTCCTGCCCCCATTCCTTATGAAATCAAACCACATGGGTGTAGAAGAGAGTATTCATGTTCTCCACTCCTCACCATTATTTCCCTAATGCTTTCTAATTTTCAAGAGCAAGATATGACTATGCACAGAGTAGCTGAGTGGATGAAGCAGCTCCAGCCTTTGAAACAGTTGCTGGGCCTCACATATATCCTGTAGTCTTTGTGCACTCATCTCTTTATACCAAAGAATTATTCTTGTTGTCACCAGATTCTCCTTCACCTTGCAGGCCTCTCTCTAGAGTCTCCTGGCGAAGTTGTCATCTATGGCATGGAAGAGAGAGGACTCCCATTGGTCCTAGAACGAGAAGACCTGTGGTATGATGATGTCGAGCTTAGCACCATGTAGCACCATTTTTGGATCAAATAAATCTTCAAAGACTGCTCTGTAATATTGTTTCCCAAATAAATGAGAATTCTGTCTTCTTCATTATTGCAGAGGTTTTACTTGGGTCTGTGATGTAAAGACAATCTTCATAACATACACTCTGAGCTTCAGGGTTGTTAAGAATCCAGATACATTGACCCCACTGACCTTGGAAAATTCCATCTTCAATCACACCCCATCCCCAAGTGAAATCTCAGTTGAAATATCCATGTATCACAGCCCTCAGCCTACACTCTTGCCTCCTTTAAGTGCAGAGAATGTCACACTTTCTGGAACAATAGAAAAACCTGAAATCTGGCCCTGAACTAAGTAATTACCCAGTAATATACACTCAGAAACACTTCACTGAATATTTAAAAAAAAAATGCCATGTCTCCTTTGCTAAACCCAGAAGGGAGATTCAAAGTGAATGGGGAGGGTCAGGCAAGAGGGAAATGGTTGCAGTTCTTTTAATTTTGCCCACAGGTTTATGGAATAACAATGACAAAAGTTTACTCCCTACAAGATCCTTTCCCTTCTCTAGTTATTCCCCACTATCCCTAATCTCCCCTTTCTCCATCAAATTGCATATCTTAGTGTTCATAAATCCTGATGGTTTCCATTCTTTTCCATTAACAACTCTCTAATTAATTAAGAACCTGAAAATCAAATGTCACCATTACAAACCCTTCTTAAGTAGCTGTATTTCTTTGAATGCTTTCCACTCCCCGTCATCCTTACCTATTTACTGCAATTGCATCAAGAGAGAGAGTTGGGGGCTGGGGAAGTAGGACTAGAGGCAAGCAAGCAGGAAAGTCAAACAAGGGGGTCTCACTCAATGACTGGTTCAGCTCAGCTGCTGGGAGGGGCAGGTGGTGTCAATGGTTTCTGGGTCAGCTCTACCACCCCATGGGCCCAGGTAAAGGTATTTGCTCAATGAAGCTACATCTCCCATGTCAACTGCCCAACATGTTGTGGCAACAAAGAAACAAATAGCATCTGAGTAAGAAGAAAAAGTCAGGTGAGTAGAAACTGGGATTAGAATGACAAAATGTTTTTGGATTAAAAAAAATAAAAGGCAGATTGACATCAAGGGAACACAGTCATTAGTCTCACTGGGTGGGGCTCCCCTTGTCCCACTTTTGGTTGTGAGAGAAAATCTGGGGTTCCTGCTGTAACAAGTATAAAGTCTGTCTTTCCTTCTTTCACGTCTAAGAACTTTTTTTTAAATATTTATTTATGTATACAAGAACAGGGGTACAAGTAAGAGGCGTCAGAGGGTGAGAGGATTCACCAGAGACAGAGTGGGGAACAGAACAGGCAGATTGACTGAAATACACTGCTGAGGGGAGCAGCGGGCGAGACAGGAGAGGTCTGCCGCTCCATGTGGTTTTCTCCCTGACCGGCTGGGAATCGAACCTGCGCTGCAGAGGCTGCGGACAGCTTCACAGCGCAGCACTCAACCCGCTGTGCCACTGGGGAGGCCCTAAGAACTTTTTTTACCTCTAAAAATACCATGACCACAGAGACACTTCACCAGGAATAAACTATACTTCCTGGAACATGTTGGGACTACGCATTGTAATTGAATTACAAAATTCATCCCCATTTTACAGTGTGGCAACCTGCACCTGGCAGCCAGCCCCATCTTCAGTTGTTAGCAGATATGCCGCTGCTCCTAGGTCCTCGCTGTCAACATTTCAGTCCCTCAGCCTCCCTTTCATATGAGCAGCGAGATGACTTTCATATTCTCTTCTGAACTTCTTGAGGCCAAATAAGATGGCATCATCACAGTGCTTGGAAATGGAATCAGTTGGACACAAATTGCTTTAGCCTACCCTTGCTGTGTTCATTATTTTATCATTTGAATAGCATTTTACTAAAATATAAATGACACGTGTCATTGTGTCTATTTAAGGTGTATGTATTGATACATTTTTATATGTGTCCTCTAAGGATTAGTATATATGTGGATTTATACATACATGTGTGTCACAGACACACACACCACATCTATGGAGGCGACTACCATTTAGTTAATGCCTTTATCATGAACCATGATTATTATTTCCTTTTATCGTGGAGCAACTAAGATCTAGTTTCAGAGCAACATTGAAATTTATAGTATAGTGTTGTTTATAATCACTACACTGTGTGTTAGATCTCCAGGATTTATAGTAGTTACAATTCTTTACCCTTCAAAAGCATCTCTCCAATAACCCATCCCCACCCCCTAGTAATAACCACTCTACAATTTATTTATATGAGTTTAGTTTTTTTTAGATTCCACATACTATTGAAATCACACAGCATTTGTCTTTCTGTCCAACTTATCTCAATTAGCATAAAGCCTCCCTGAGTCTCATTACTGTGTTAGTGTTGGCTATGGGATTTCTGTGATCCCACCACGTCCAACTGTTTCCAGTTCCTAATTATTAGAAAGAGCATGATAGTGACTTTTGGTTCAAAATGTATATAAAGGAGTATTTAACTCTTGCTCTCTTATTTTCATTCTATTTATTGTGTTGGCTTATGAGCCAAGTTCTTAATTTAAATAAATTAATAAATGTGGTGCATCATGTTTTTCTCTTATATTTGTTACTTCTTATGTACTTTAAAGAGAACACATTACTCTATTTTTCTTCCTCCAGGCACATGACCTAGGGGTAGCTTTGTCACCTTATTAAAGAAACAGGAGACTAGAAGCTGGACCTCCATCCCTGTGAGGAACTGTCCACTTGCAGTTCACTCTCTTTCTGAGGAAGGAGGGTGCTGGGAAACAAGCTCCTCCTTCTTGGCTGACTCTGAATTATACCAGATGTTCCCTGAGCCCTGTGTGCTGGCAAAGTCTCTGCTGAGGTTTTCAGGGTCTGAGTTATAACATTGAGTTGACAAATATCTCAAGGGGAAAGAGGCTTGGCCCTGCTCTCTGCCTGTCTCTGAGTATCTGACTCCAAAATTCCTCACTGCCTTGGGAGGTCTGCAACACTAGTGACAAGTATTGGTATTTTCCAAGTTTTCTAAGAGCATTCTCAGAGCTTGCTTAAAACAGAGACCCTGTCATTGTCACAAGCAAAACTCTCTGTACAAAAGGTGACTCTAAAATTATACCATGACTGCTCCGTTACAGCATTCATCTCAGATCCTCCACTAGGTTATTATGTAATTTAATTCAGTTTGCCTCTCTTCAATCCCACTAAACTCTCACCTCACCCCATTGACCTGACTCTCCCTCCTCAGAGAGCACACAGCTCCGCCTGGTGGACAGAGGCCATCTCTGTGAGGGCAGAGTGGAGATCTTCACCAGGACTCCTGGGGCACCATCTGTGATGATGACTGGGACCTGCGTGATGCCCACGTGGTATGAAGACAGCTGGGCTGTAGAGAGACCCTCACTGTCACGCCTCCGCTCACTTTGGGGCAGCATCTGGACCCACCTGTCTCTATGCAGTGAGGTGCAAGGCAGGGAATCCTCCCTGTAGGTATGTCCTGGGGAGCCTCAGGGTAGAGAGATTGTGCACGTGAAGACTACAATACATTGTCTTAAAAAATAACATCTGAGAAACATAATGTGACAATACAGCTGAGTAATTCTTGTTAATGTAGGAGTATCTATGAAATAGGTAGTTTAATCATGAAATATTGAGATAGCTGGATAATTTTTCTGGCTCATGCACATCAAAGTGAAATATAGCTGAGGAAAAGACCCCTTAAACCTGAATAGAATGGATCCTCTGTTTAGCAGCCATCAGACTCTTAGGTGAGCAGGTATTTAGCTCTTACCTAGCCAACCCATTTACTTAGGTCTTACCTGATGACCTTGTCTAATTTAATTCCCTCAGCTCAGAGGCCAGATGCCCCAGGCAAAGGTTATGATGGTGCTGAAGATGTGCCAGTGCCCGAGACTCCTCATGCCTCTGGGATGAGTGAAGGGGAAGTTCCCCTAGAGGAAGAGAATGGGGTGAGGGTCACTCAGACAGGTGAGGGGTATAGTTGATCTGTGATCTTTCACTTCTGTCTCGAGAAGGATGATTTTTGAGCTCTTCCAGGTCTATCTTCCTGTATATTCAAAATTTGTGCAACCTCATATGTTTGACAGCACCATATTCTTTTCCTTAATGTTGGCAGGTGCCTTTATAGGGAGGAAAATCCATGGTGTTGGTATCATAACTTTATCCCCACATGTGTATAATTTGACTTGGAGATTAATTGAGTATATTCCCCAAATCTGACAGTGGAAATACTGGTAAAAATTTTTTGTTCTCATTGTTTGTGGAAGGTGGTTAGAGAATTTTAAGAAATTGCTGTTTTGGAATTTGTGAGGCATTTGTTTATATAGTATTTTAACACTAATATGTACAAGGTCTATAATATATTGTGGTCTTAAAAATTAAGCTCTGGTGTTGGATTCTAGACTCAGAATCTGGGGGCAGTCAAGAGTTGTTCTGCTCCAGATATTTCTTTTTTTTTTTTTTAATTTTTTTAATAGAGGCATGTTTTATTTATTTATTTGTTTGTTTGTTTGTTTGTTTGTTTGTTTATACATGCACTGGGTACAGTCAGAAGCGCAGGAGGGTGAGAGAATTCACCAGAGCCAGAGCGGGGAGCAGAGCAGGCAGAAGGACCTAAGTACACTGCTGAGGGGAGCAGCGGGCGGCAGGAGAGGTCTGCGCGCCATGCGGGACCCTCCTCCAGTGGCGGGGGAGCAGCCGGGGATCGAGCCGGCGCCGCAGAGGCCGCGGGCATCTTCGCAACCCAGCGCTCAACCGCTGCGCCACGGGAGAGGCCCCTGCTCCAGATATTTCAATGGGCAAATGAGATGCTGAGTCTCAGAAGCAGTTCATGTGACTGTGGGAGAGGGGAATGTGCTAGATGGATGCTCTAAGGCTGTGTCTTTGGACTTTTGGGAACACAAGTCAAGGCCACCAGCAGCAGAGCTGTCAGGAGGAGCTGAGCTTCTCTACATCTGCTTTGCTATCTCC